TAAAAAAGGAATTTCCCCAAGTTTCAGTTGGATTGTGTAGAGGCCTTTGGAGAACATATTCGAATGTACTGTAGTAGTTTTTTTTAAAAGTATCTGCTTTGACTGTTTTGTGATTGTGAAAGAGGCTGTCCTACATCATTTGGTTATCAATATTCTCATAAAGAGTGTTCCTTATAGTTTTGTGGCAGATATCCAGAATTCCACTTAGCAAAATGAACACAAATACTTTGACATGTAGTAGGGCTGGTTTACAACATTTGAAAATGAGGAGTGTACTGTACATTACCATCTAAAAGGCAAATTCTTTAAGAATATCAAATCCGAAGTCTAAGATTACTGAACTACATCACTTATTAACGAAACACCCAGCTGTGAGGAATGCTAGATTTCATCTGCTTCATTCTCCAGAGGCTTCTGAGGCACTCACAGTATCTCTTGATATTTAAGACCTTCACCCATTAGATGGGAAATGTACAGCTCTGCCATAAGAAGATTGTTCTGAATGATGCAAACAAGATGCAAGGAAGGGAAGTTCATCTTAGCAGGAATCAATTACTGCATTATAAATGTGCCTGGTTCCAGTCAGTCCTCTGCTTGCATTGGAGGAGGTCCTCTGCTTTTATATTACATCCTAGTTGTTCACAGAGATCTGCTATGATGTGTATGTGGCCTTAGTTTTGCCTTCATTTGATCATTTCCCATCCAGTTATTGTACAGGATCTGGGGACTTCTTCCAAGCCAAAACACTAAGAGATACGGTAGGCTTCATTTTGTTCATTTGGAATGGAATTCCAGAAGACAGACGACTCTAACAAAAAATGGGCATAACACAATAATTCTTTCTCCTCTTCCCCCCCGCCCGCACAAAAGTTAGGGTAATGCCATGGTTAATGTATGGTATTCATTGGGAACCAGCTCTTTTCCGCCTCCCTCAGCACTGAATTGCGAATAATCATCCTCCAACATACTGCAGATATGGAAACATATAGCAAAGGACTGAGATAACACTATCGAAGTTGCTTATTTCTGCTAAAAAATAGTCTAATTAACCTAACATTTTAATTTGTTTTTAATTATACCTGTATGTAATATATGCTTCTAAATTTAAATTGTTCAGTGCTCTGAAAGAAAGAAAGAAAGAAAGAAAGAAAGAAAGAAAGAAAGAAAGAAAGAAAGAAAGAAAGAAAGAAAGAAAGAAAGAAAGAAAGTGTATTGCTTATTCATCTCTTTATAAAAAGGGAGAAATAGATTGTGGGATGGATGGATTGAAAATGTTATTCCAAAATGTGAAAAAAAGCATGTAAGCATGTCTTTTGTGATGTTTTATTTGCGCATCAATTTTAGAATAAGATTTTGAAAACATGTTTTGCAGATTGAGTCCTTTGGAAGGCAAAGCATAAGCCTTTATTCAAGCCTGGAAAAATGTTTTCCTCAGTACATATGGTTTGTGTTTGGTCTTTGCTCTCTCTCTCTCTCTCTTCAATATTTAAATATTTTTCTTCCTTTTTTAGTTCTTTTTTAATAAATATTTTAATTGTATTTTTCTACTTTTCTATCCGTTGCAACCAGAGTGATTTCTTACAGTTTGTTCCATTTATTTCATCTTGTCGAATCTATTCTACTTAAATCAGTGTAGATTTCATCCAGTTTTTTTAAACAACTAGGGATAAGGTAAGGAATACAAAAGGTAGAGGGGGATATGGGGGAAAAGAGGGGGAAGGAGAGCACAAAATGTACTGTCATCCAATCTGTTTGTTCATGTTGCGATATCAAGTCGACTTTTCGCCTTTCTACAATTTGATTGCCCTCCAGGTTTCAACTTACAGTTACATCTTAGTTTAATTCTATTTTATTCAAACACTATCTGGTGACTCAAGCCATTTATATAATAAATCCCATCGTTCAGTTGCCTTTTGTATTGGACAGTCTTTCAACACTTCTGATAGAATATCAATTTCTGCCACTTCCCGTATCTTCTTAGTGAGTTCCTCTTGTTTTGGTTATCTCCGATTTCTTCCAGTTCTTAGCATAAAGAATTCTGGCTGTAGCGACTATATATATAACTAGGTAGCTCTTTGTCTTATCTCTATTATCTGGTATAATGCTCAGTAAAAACAATTCTGGGGTTAGTGGAACATTACAAAGCAATATTTTTTGTAACAGAGTATGTATTGCCATCCAATACTGTTTCGCTACTCTACAAGTCCACCACATATGGTAAAAGCTTCCCTCTTGTGCTTCACACTTCCAGCAAACATTTGACACCTCTGTATAAATCTTTGACAATTTTTTCAAAGTTATATGCCACCTATAAAACATATATGTTCTCCTTGAAATTTACCGATTTTGTGAGCTTCATGTTATTTTTCCATATTTGCAACCATTGATCAGTATCAATATTATGTCCTATATTTTGTGCCCACCTCATCATACATTCTTTTACCATCTCATCTTGCATTTTAATTTCAAGCAAATAATCATACATTTTCTTAATTACTTTATCATTTGAGCCCAGCAGAAGTTTATTGAATATTGTTTGTTCTATGTAAAAGCCCTCTATTTTATGTCTTCTATAGCTAGATTCCAGTTGTGCTCTGGACCACCAATCTAGATGGATGTTTTGTGTTTCTAACTCTTCTTTGGACCTTAACTCGCAATCATTTTTAATAGATCTTGATATCTTAAAAGTTTCACTTCTGTCATGAGGTTAGGTTGTGTAAAGCTCTCTATGGGTGATACCCAGCCTGGTGTTTTTTGATAAATCTGCTGGATAATCTTTTTCCAGGTCCCTAGTAGGGCTCTTCTTATCATATGCCAGTTGAAACTTTTCTGCTCTTTATCTTTTTTATACCATAGAAAAGCATGCCAACCTAACTATAAATCATGTCCTTCCAACCCTCCGTGTTTTCCTCACGTATGAGAGAGATTATCACTTCGGACAACGTTGGTGGCAATTCTCCCTTTTCTTCAACAAATTCTAAGAATTTCTTATATGGTTTAAGCAATACATTTTCTAATTCTTTGTAATATTAATAGGCCGGAAGACCATCTGGGCCTGGTGATTTCCCCTTCTTTTTTTCTTTTTCTTTTTCTGCTTTTTGAAGGCTTCTATAATTTCTGCATATGTTAAAGGCTCATTTAAAGACTACATTTTATTTTTGGCCGTTTCATTTTATTGTATTTCAACACATATTCTTTCTGAGATTCTTTGTCTACTTCCTTTTTATTGTATACTTTTTATTGCATTGCTCTTTTGAAGGCAAACATGGGCTCAGTTTAGGAACTGGAATGTTGCAGCCCACACATGTGAGGAAATCTTATTGTGAGAAGGGAAATAGGATAATTGGTATAAATAGGCACACCTTTTAATGTCTAGTACAACTTCCAAAGCGTTGGCCTAATCTAGACATGTAAGAGCTATGATTAGTTGGTGTGGTCACATAAACATCCATTGTATATGATTGAGATCATCCAGCTCTTTTAAAGGTACATACCATTCTCATAACACAGCTTTCCCCAAAAGGAATGCATTAGAAGAAGACACAAGTGGTCACAAAATGTGCATGATCTAATTTATATGTCTGCTGATGCAAATTTAGACATCATTCCAGTGGCTTAAAAAGAGATAGAGTACCTCAGAGCATAGTGAGGAAAAATATGACTGGGTGACCTACATACCTGCTCCATTTGCTTCACAGATGGTCATTGTGAATGTGCAGATTGAAGGATCTTGTGACTTTCCTTTATTATGATTCTTTCTTCTAGCTGGGCTTAGATTGGACAGTCTTTTCACCATTATATTTCAGTGCTGTCTTCTGGGTTTCTATTTATCCGTGGAGGTGTTTTGTATTATGAATTTATATTGCTGGGAAAATAAGGTGGCTTGCAATGCTGTGGGAAAAACTGTGCCCCCCCCAAAAAAAACCCATCAAAAACAGTACAACAACAGGAAACAGTTTCTCAGAATTTTTTTAAAAAACCTTCAAATCCAAAGGCTAGCATTAAAATAATGGAGACTAATATCAGTGCTTGCTGGAATATGTGTCTTGGACTAAGCAGGTATGTACAAACCCCAGGCTCATGAGATCTACCTTGTTTTCTACTAAACCTCTGAACTCTGTCACACAGCAGCAGTGGCTTAGTCGTGGGGGGGGGGGAGACAGAGAAATAAGAACAAGGATGTCAGCACATACGTAGCCCAGAAATTTATTTTCACTACTAGAACTGAGCACAGAGCACAAGCTGTTAGCCTGATTGCAAGGATCTTTAAAATTAGAAAAATAAATCTCTTAATTGCATCTATGCTTATTGTCCATGAAGAGATTTTCACAGAGATTTACTCAAAAGTGTTGCACATAAATTTGGGATGCTTGCTGTCTCATCCCTGCGTTGGAGGCAAGGACTCCAGAGAAGTTCTTGGCCTGCCCTATCAGGAATGAAAAATTTAGTGAGTAGTCATCACATTTCTAGAAGGAATTATACTGATTTGCAACAACAAAGACTTCCCTGAGAAGCAAGCCAAGAAACACCTTTTCTGACCCAAATCACAACAATGTTTTTCTTACATTCCTGCAAAAAATAAAATTAAAAATTAAAAAAATCTATCTATCTATCTATCTATCTATCTATCTATCTATCTATCTATCTATCTATCTATCTATCTATCTATCTCAGCCAGCATTTAAAAAGAGCAGGAGGGTATTTTTGGTCATATTCTAAGTTTGGCAGTGCAAATAAGACTACAACAAATTGACAATAGACAAACAGCTTTTAATCCACTTTAAACTCTGAGCCAATAACTTTCTGGATAGCTACCAATGTGTAATCAGTCTCAGCTAAAGTAGATCCACTGAATTAATAGAACTTGTTAAGTTGACATGGCCAATGTATTGGGTTCCCATCATTTCTGTTGCCTTCTGATGATATTTGTCAGTCCTTTTCTTCTTACAGAGATTGTTGTGCACACGGAAGCATAACAGTAGTTGATTGCAGAATGTAAAATGGAGATGGAGCAAGAGCCAAACAAGAGCATGGATGTTGAGTTTCTAATCCTGGGATTCAGCAGCAATGGAACTCTGCAGATAGTATTTTTTGCCTTGTTCCTTATCATGCACCTCATCACCCTCTCAGGACACCTGATCATTGTGACCATAACTTTGACTGATCCTGGCCTCAACACCCCTATGTACTTCTTCCTGCGCAACTTGTCTTTCATTGAAATCTGCTACACGTTGGTCATTGTGCCAAGAATGTTGGCCAGCTTCTTGGCTAAGAGCACAAGGGTCACCTTGACTGTGTGTGCGGTGCAGATGTACTTCTTCATTGCCTTTGGAGGCGCTGAGTGCTTCCTCTTGGTTGTGATGGCCTACGACAGGTACGTGGCCATATGCAACCCACTGCGCTACACTCTCATCATGAGCAGGAATCTCTGCAAACACCTCTTGGTGGTAGCCTGTTCTAGTGGATTCAGCATCTCACTGGGGCTGACTCTGCTGATTTTCAGGCTTCCCTTCTGTGGCTCCCACCACATCAACCACTTCTTCTGTGATATCCCACCTATATTGTTTTTGGCATGTAGCGACACACATGCCAACGAGATGGTTGTGTTCCTTGTCTGCACGATGATCTTGCTCATTCCTTTCCTCCTCATTCTGATTTCCTATGCTTTCATTGCCCATTCGATTGTCAGGATCAAATCCTCGGAAGAGCGCAAAAAAGCCTTCTCCACCTGTGTCGCTCACTTGGTTGTGGCCCTCCTACACTATGGGTGTGCGATCTTCATCTACATCCGTCCAAAGGCCAGCTACTCCCTGGACAAAGACAAAGTGGTCTCTTTGATTTACACCAATGTCACCCCAATGCTGTATCCTATCATTTATAGCCTCAGAAACAAGGAAGTGAAGGGAGCACTGAAGAGGGTGTGGAAAAGGAAATTTATTTCTATGTCAGGATAGTGTCCTGTCTACCATTGAACAAGCATGAATAGCCAGGTCTTTACAGGCAAAGGACTGACGTGGAAATGGCTACTTCAGAACCAAAATTCAGAGACAAGATCATCAGGCATGGTAGGTAGCAAGGTCCTAGATGAAATTTATTATTATTA